TAACAAGGATGATTTGTCGTGTCTGAAACACTGGCTTTAGGAAGTGACTTGAGGCTACCCTGACTCAGTCTTCAGCCACTTTGTTTTGGCAAAGGATTGTCGATAACATTAGGACCTGCCTCTTTGAAAGTGAGAATATTTTCTTTCTCCAATTCTTGCACTATGTTTTTCAATGCATAGCAGCTCTCTAAGTCATGACCGGCAGCTCCCTGATGAAATTCACAGTGAAGGTCAAATCTGAACCCGGCTGGAGAAGGATTTTGAGGAATCAGAGGCCTAGTTGTAATTAAGGCTTTCTGCACCAATGCAGGATACAATTCAGTGTACGTCATAGGGATGGGATCAAATTGAGCCCTATTCCCTACATAACGATTCTAATTCTGCGTAATATTCTGTTATTGAGGGACCTGAACTGGTTGAGTATTAGCCGCAGGAGTAACAGCTGCTACTTGTGGTTGATCAGTGTATTGAGGCCTATGGTGAGGTCCTCTTCTCTCAGTCGAGACAACATTGGCTTCTACCTCTTTCTTCTTCTGAAAGTTCCCAAGGTATTTCTTTGCACCATTAGAAGATTCAACAGCTTTAGACACTTTACCGTTCTTGATTCCTTCTTCTAATCTCTGGTCAATAGTCACCAGGTCTGTGAAGTTGGAAGACACGCTACCAACCATCTTCTCCCAAAAGAAAGGGGACAAAGTATCCATGAACAAACCAGTTAACTATTTCTCTTCCAGGGGTGGTTCAACTTGAGATGCCAATTCTCTCCATCGTTGAGCATATGCCTTGAAATATTCTTTCTCATTCTGAGACATATGTTGTAGTTGGAGACGATCAGGTGCCATGTCAAGGTTGTATTTGTATTTCTTTATGAAAGCATCAACAATATCTTGGAAGCATTGGATACGACCTTTCTCAAGTCCCATATACCATTTCAATGAAGCTCCACTCAGACTATCTTGGAAACAATGGATAAGCAGCTTGTCATTCTTTATGTAAGCAGACATCTTTCAAAAGTACATCACCAAATGACTTCTTGGACAAGTGTGCCCCCGGTATTTCTCAAACTCGGGAGTCTTGAACTTTGCAGGCATAAACATATCAGAAACTAGGCACATATTGTTAGCATCAACATTGAAGAACTCATTTCCTTCCATAGCTCTAAGTCTCTTCTCTAAAGTCTGATATTGTTCTTTGAACTCTTCAAACTCACCAAGGTCCCCCTGACTCATACTTGGAGGACTAGAAGCGTGGTACTCAAAGAGAGGGTTCCCAAAAGCAGCTTGTGCAGCAGGTTTACGAGAAGCAGTATGAACGATTGGCTGAGGTTCAGTGAAAACTGGAGCTTGAGAGACTGGTCGGGCAGACTGGCTAACCATTGAAGTAATTGCAACAGGTGGAGAGTAGTTATGAGGTAACCCAAACTCTGGCCATGTAGTATATGTATGCTGGATAGGTTGATTGTCAATAGCAGCAGTTGGGATTTCAGATATCACAGTCCTTTGAGGTGGCTCTCCTCTGGAAATCAGGACTTGCATCATCTCAGTAAGTTTGCCATGCTTGACTTCAACTCGTCAATTTCCATTCTGACTTCCATGTTGTGTTGTTCTTGGTTTTCCATTCTCAATCTGACAGCAACTCTAGTCCCGTAGTTGTGTTGAGGAATCAGCTTGACGATAGACGACTAACTGGAAGAAAGAAGCAACTGAGAATAAGATCCTGAACAACCTAGATGTGTGCAGAATGATGTAAATGATATGCAATGTTATGCAATGCACTGCACAGTAACAAGATCACATGGTTCAGAGTCACAAGCTTGGAGTCAAAGGTACAAACCATAAGGTATGGACTAACGGTTATCACCTTCCGAATAAGGTTCTAAGAGGTTCCCAGAGTCTACATCCTTCCTTCGGATATTACCAACATCCCGATTAACTCGGTAATTAGCAATATTCTCAGGAAAAACTCGTCCGAGCGTAGTATCGCGTGACAACTATTTCCGGATCACTCCATCATAGCTTTCGCACTACACCTAAAAGGCCAAGATGGGTTAGGTAATCTATGGTCCTCAGCTTCAGCAGGCTCCCAGGTCGAAAGCAGTACGTCTTCCCGATTACTTGATAAACGACACTACAGTCAGAGGGGCCTACAGTGAGTGGGGGATCTCATGTATCCTTTTTTGGAATTACTCCCTCAAAGTTAACATGACAATACCGCCCCTCCTATCTTAAGTTTTCCCAAAGTCCGGGTAGAAGACTTATAAGAAATCACCAAGCCCTTGAAAACTAGGAAATTCCAGACAAACATATATAGAGAATAATGGTAAGTAATAAACAGCAAGTAAAACAATATAAACACTCATAGAAAAGAAACAAACAAAGCTAGGATTGACCCACTTAGGAATGGACCGAAAATAGGCCAATTTGTCCCCAGTGAAGTCGCCACTTTCCTGTCGGACGGTAATATCGCCGTCATCGGCAAAGACGAAAAGAGATGAACTAAATTGCAACATTGATGATAGGAAAAGAAACGTAGCGATAAAGATTTGAGATTAAGTCATCAATTGACTTATCTCAACACAATAAAGTCGCCACCACACTTTATTGTTTCCAAAAGGAAATGGAAAAAAGCGAACAAAACCCAAAAAGATCAGAGATCGAGTTACGTGGGTCGATTATGCAAAGGGAAGGTATTAGCACCCTACGCATCTACGGTACTCCACATGATCCACTTTGTTTTATTTCTTTCAAAAGGAGTGTCATGTAAAGGTTTACTTGCTAAAGGAAAAGAATGAATGAGTATTTGCAAACAAAAGAAAATGAAATGTTTTTTTTAATTATTTTTGTTGCTCGCCTTGGGTCGTAAGACTTAGTGCCTACGTACTCCCTTGTGCAATGGGAAATTCAGAGCACTGTAGTTTGGCTAGAAAAGACTTGTCTGTTGATTTTATTTTAAACAAGGAGACAAGTCGTCATTGTTAGGAGAGAAATCTCGACTAACGCCCATAAGGTGTGGGAAAGATGGACCCTGCGTCAGCAAGAGTGGGGGTTTGAGAACGCCTCTAGCACTCAAGTGAAAAAGTTGACACCTTTATAACCATGGGGATAGGAGAATATTGCTCGACTATCAATTAATCATGTCTCATCTTGCAAAGAGTTTTGAAGGATAAAAGGTGCTCGAGCGCACAAAAGAGTTTGAATGAGTTGAATTGTTTTTGTTAATTTTGAAAGATGTCGAAGTATGATTAAATGAATTGAAGTTTATTTAAAGAAAATAAGTTTTAAAAGAAAAGGCACTCGATAAAGTCGAGGTTTATTATGAAAGTGGTTCTAGTTTATAAACAAAGAAGATTTTGAAAAAGATGAGAAGATCTTGAAAATTAAAGAAAGGGAGAAAATAAAAGAGTGTCCTATGTACAGGAGGGTAAAAGATAAGGTAAAGCGGAGATCCGACCGAATAAGAAACCAGTACTTGACATGATGAAGTCAAAACTGTATTCCCATCCCATTGGGGTTTAAAGCCACAGACAGAAAAAAATAAATAAGCTAAGAGTATACCAAACCTCGGGTGAAAATAAATCACAAGTCGACAACATCAAAAAAACCAGATGTAAGATAATACTCCAAGCAGCGAATAAAGCGCAATGAATCACAACGCGTGAAAATAAATCACGAATGAAGAACGCGTGGATAAAGCTCACTGTACCGAATAAGATTCCCTGTATCACATGAAATATGCAAACAAAACTAACAACACGGGAAAAATTATATGCGCCTGTACGATTTTTCAGAAGTTAATTTGAATTAAAATTTAAAATCGCAACGCAATGAAAATAATATTTACATAACCTAAATTTATTTAGAAATGAAGTGAATAAAATATACAGTCAAAATATTATGTACAAGTATATATTTACAGTACCAAATATTAAATCAGAATAATAAAATACAATAAAAAGGTAAAGGGAGAAGTGTAGGAATTATGGATGCGCTGTGCGGGAATGAATACTTGAAACGATTTTTTGGAAACCTTCACAGTAACAAACGCGTTAGTAGCATAAGCGGTATAAAAATAAAAACGAATGAAATTGCAACAAGATTTGAATTTATGTTAGTAATCACAAAGTATAAAAATCAAAATAAACTTGTATGATGCATATGAACAAATGAATATTTACACAAATCAAAATCAAGAATTCATGATATTGTTCAATGTAAACACAAAAAATCAGCATTATCAATAGTTGGACAGCAACAAATTATGCATAAAAAGCTCATGAAAATCAATTTCCAAGTGATTCCAAACTTATGTACAAACACCAATATTAACCCAACAAACTTTGTGAATTGAGTTCAACTGAAACATTATCAAAACCACATTTAAAACGATTCAAACAACAAAACAAAATCGACACTGATGCACAAGTATGAACAACCCATGATTTTTCAATTAAATTCAAAAGGTGAACAAAACAAGAACCAAACAATCGATTGTTCAATTATTTTAATTCACAAACAAAACTATCACCAAAGAACTCATTCCAATATTCAATTCTAACTTCAAACATGAAAAATTGATTTCAATTCAAGAATTATTCAAATAAACCAAATCCGGGCAACATGTCCGTAACAAATTCTTCATCACAATTTAACATGAACAAATCAGAATTTTTTGATACAAGCTTTATCATGAAACAAATAAATTATCAACACTAAATTCAACAATATCTATCCATAACTTCATCACACTAATAAATAAACGCATCACCAATTTATTTTTCAAAACAGTCCGACAAATCGCGACATCAACACAATAACAAACCAAATTTATCAACAGTTTTTTTCTTTATCAAATTTAAAGCGATTCCATAAATTAATCTCAATCAAAAGTTAGGATATTAGAAATTACCAACTTGACAGAAGAAGTGTTATTGCAGAACGGAAAGTGTCGAAGTCGCAGGTGCGATACGATGCCGACGGAGGTGGTACCGGCTGGAGCAACGCTTACGGAATGTTGTTGGTGCTGATTAGAGAACAACGAAGGGTGATTTGTTGGGCGGAGATGTTGTGGCGTGTGTATGCAGGTGGATGGATAGGTGAAGGTTGGTCGCAGAGACGATGAATTGAAGGATGAAAGTTGCGGAATGTTGATGAAATCGGTGATGATGCAGTTGCTGTTACGATGGGTAATGTTGGTGTTGAAGATGAACAACAATCAATGCTGATGTGCGGCGAGTGTGATGGTATGGAATTGGCCGGAATTGGAAGGTAGCGGAATTTAGATGCTTGCGGAAACATATGAGAGGTTGTCTTGAAATTGCTTGCGGAATTGGAGGCTAGGTGATGAGGATGGTGGATGAATGGAGAAATTGAAGGGAGTTTGGTGTTTGTATGCTAGCTACTGTCAGTTCTTTTTTTGTTTATCAGGGGAAGAGAGGAATGAAGTATGGGGGAATTGTAGAAGGGGGTAGCTCGCGTATGGAGATGAAGGTTGGGTATGTGGCTGTAAGAAAACAGAGGCGGAGGGTTACTGGGTTGATGGTGTGGCGTGAGAAGGTGATGAAAGGAATAAAGAGTGAAAGGGTAATTGAAGAGCTATTTTACTGTGTTGGTTTTTATTGTGATTTTACAAAGAAATAAAGAGGCTTTAAATAGAGAGAATAAAGAGGAATATTGATCTCTGATTTTCAATCATGTTTGTACAATAATTTCTTCAATATGTATTAATCCATAAATATTGATATCAACAAATAGGAATAAAGCAAGGTGTAATCAATATATTTTTATGACAAAAGTTCCCTTTTAATAATAAAATAATTAAAAAAATTGAAATTATTAATATTAACTCAATTTAAAATAATTTTTTTGAATTTTTTCTGAATAAAAAATAAAGACTCAAAATGACTAAAAACGATAAAAAAAATGGAAGAAAATTTATCCGAAAAAATAAAATGAACACATTAAAATAAACTACATCTCACAAAGATTAAAGAAAAAAATATTCAAAAAGTCAAAATCGAAATAAAATGAGAATAAAAATATCTGACTAAACAGACGTTTACGGTTAAGAACGAGACTTCAAATTGTACCGAAAAAATAAAGCGAGCATACCATCATAATCTACGCGACACGAAGATTCATAAAATGATCGGTAAAAGGTGAAAACTTAAAATATTTTTCTTGCTAATTTTCTGCATAGTGTCGAATCGCTTTTAACATTCTGCCTATAAAACCGAAATATTTATATTATCGACGTATAAACAATTTGGAGCAATACAAGAAAATAGTAAAGAGATAAAAATGCATTAAGTTAAATGTCGGGTATTTTTTCAATTATAAAATGATGCAAATGTGTATTTAAACTGACTTTTAATCAATTTAAATATGATTAAATGATGAAAATGTGGTGAATGAAACTATTTATTAATGATTATAATTAAATAACAAAATATAATATAAAAATGCGACTAAAAAAAATTAGAGGTGAAATTTAGTGTACATGCATAATTACATTTTCATTTCAATGGAAAGAATATTTGTTTTTATTACCTTTTTTTACACTTGCACAATTATTAGGAATGCAAATATTTAATTTAATGCAATCACACTACTTATGTATGGTTATATTGGCCAATTGTGTCGTTGAAGTAAGAGGACCTCACTAAAGTTCTTTGATATTATTATTTATTTAATCATCTAATCTCATTTAGTATTTCAATGATCTTGCAGGCTCATGATACATGTTACATGTTTCAAAATGTGTTACTAGACTCATAGGGAAAGAATAGTTATAAGTGGAATACTTTTTATCTTTATTGTTGATTGGTTGGAGGAGTTGGATGCATTATTAGAAATGAAGTTTGTTTATTGTCTTTATTGTTTATGTGTAGTAGGTTAGTTTAATCAAAACTTTAGAGGTATTGGTGTAAGAATGTTTTTTTTTTCTTTTAGAATTGTAATTTCTATTGTTTACACTATCATGAGTATTTTTTTATCCTTGAATAAATTTTATTAATATAACTATTATTTGACTTTAAAAAACAAAGTTGGAGGGTTCAATTTTTATTTATTTACATATTTTAAATATTTTGCGGGGATTTAAATCCTCCACAATAAAATTGCTGCAGTTTATTTTGAATACCAGCGACAAACTAAAATCCCATAGATAATTTATGAGAATCGAATAAGTGATAGTTTTCCAAACGCCTGTGTGATCGGTGGATCTGGAACTGACTGTTTAACGCTGGTTCGCGAAATGTCGCGGAAGCAAGAGTCGCCACCGTCTTTTATTTTCTCCAAATGGAAAGGACAAAAGCACAGAAAAATTCCTTAAAGAGATTGCTCTCGGTTCGGGAGGTAGGTTATAGAAAGGGAAGGTGTTAGCACCCTTTCTATCCATGGTTATCCATGGGCTCTTAGATACTTGCTCATTGTGTTTTCAAAAATGTTTGTTTGCTTTTCAATGTGGGTTTAAAAGTTTCTTTGAAAAATTTCAGATCGACTCATACGTCAGAGTGTTTGAAAAGTTTGCTTTGAAAGCTTTTGAAAATGTGTCAGTGTGAAAAGTCTTTTGAGTTTGTTTTGAGATTAGAGCAAGTATCCTTGAGAACCTACCTACCCTAAGGAATTCGTCTGTGTAAATGTCCTTTAAAGTAGTGCCATCCCACCATTGAGAGGTAGGTAGCACCACCGTTGGAGGTGTTCGGGTCAATTCGAAGTTCGGGACATGGTGATCACCAGAGCAATGGGAAGACACCTTAGAAGCTACCCTCATGCCAGGTTCCCGGATCATGAGGACTTACTAAGACGTCCTCTACTCGACGACCACCTTTCGAGGCAAGGCAACAGTGAGGCGTACCCTAGGGGTGGTGTGTGCGAATTGTGTGTCATGTTTCAGTTATTTGTCTTGTCATGTTTGTCGTGTTCTACGCTTGATTTTAACTTATCCATTCATTCTTGCATGCATATTTAAGAGTTATAAAATTTGCGGAAAATAAATCTACAGCTATTACAAAGGCGCGGGTCCACATCGCCAAAATAAACCGGACCCGATTTAGCGGAAAAATAATAAAGTGCGAAAAGTAAATTACAATGCTTTGGGGCAATTACATAATTATAATAAGCGATAATAAAATAAATGCGCTAAATAAGGGAATTAGAACAAGACTAGGGCGTTGGACCCTTTTGCAAACAATTAAAATTAATAATGAATTACAAATTAAATGATTAAATGTTTTTGTTATTTTCTTTTGTTTTTTTAGATTTAAAAAGAAATTAATTGAAATTAGATTAAAAGACAAACCCTAATTCTAATATTTTTTATTTATTATGAAAGATTTAAATTAAACCTAAATTAAACTCTAAATTAATTTATGTACAGTTTAAATAAGAAAATAAATAAATAAATAATATTATTCTAAAAAGGGAAAATTAAAAGAGAAATCAAACAAAGATATTTAAACCTAAATTCTATTTTTGGTGTTTTTTTATTAAAAGGATTAAAACTATAACCTAATTAACTAAATATTGACATATATTAATTTATTGATGAAAATAATTAAAATTAAAAATTATATTTTTACTTGGACATTTTTATTTTTATGATGTTTTTCTATTTTTTGTAAAAAAGGATATTTAATTTAAATCAGAAAATAAATAAACAAATAAACAACTAAAAATAATAAAAGATAAAAGAAAATTTAGAAAAAGATAGAACCAGGGGGGTTTGCTGTCCCATTAGGGAGGTGTTGATGTGAAAAGCCTGGCCCAATAAGCTGGACGTTGGTTGACTTTTTGAATCCCATACAACGCGTTGACTGGAATTTAGTGTACTCCTTTGATCATGGCCCTTGATTTGTAAGCAGCTGGACGCGTGTTCATTGGATTTTGAGTGTGCATGGTGTGCTCTAATGAGGGATCTGCATGGGATTTAATGTAGAAAAATAACATGGAATTATTCAGACCTGGGGTTCGAACCCAGGTCACGAGCATTGCAAGTACTTCCACCTACCACTGAACCATGTGATTTACATTTAACATATATTAACGAATAAATAACAAAAAGCAAACGCGTTGATGGCCTGGAAAAGCGCGCGCGTTTTTAAACGCACCAACCACCACGTGACACGGCCTCATCTTCTTCCCCTTCCCTGTAACACAAAACTAATGGGCAACGGTTTTGCAACGTGGTTTTAGGCAAGCAACGGGAAAATAGCGACTAGCCCATATCCAAACATAAATTGGGCGCGATGGCATGGATCTTTTCGTCTCTAAGTCCTGAATTCAACCATGGTATCCAGAAGTCCTAATTTTTCTTGTATTGGGAAACCCCCTTTTTGAATTCCTGAAACCCTAAAGACCATTCATGGCAGATTCACGTATATTGCTCAAAAACAAAATTAGTTAGTATGGTTAGCATTAGAACATCATGAGAAACATGAATATACAAACAAAAATGCAAAAAGATGTCTAAATCATGCTATGCGATTTCAACATTTTCTTGGTTCAGTTTGACTTTGTGATACCGTTTCAAGGCGTTTGACTTGTTGTTTTTGATTGAGAAACGTTTAGAATTGTCCAAGGAAGCTATTGCAATTGGTTTGGTGCCTTGAATCGCCCTATAACCTTGATTTCAGAATTCAACTTTTTGGACAATTTTCAAGTTTGTGTTTTGCTTTCTGAGCGCAGCCTGCAGTCTTTTTCGCATTAGGGTTGTGATGTTGATCATATATGGAAGCAATTAGGTTAAAAAGATTCAATAAAATCCATCTCCATAATTGTTTTCAATCTTTGATTTGTTAAGGATCTTTTACAATCTTTTCTCATGGTTTTTGTGCCAAATCTGATCAATTAGTATCAAATCCTTCCCTATTAGCATGTGCACGAGTTATAGAGTCCAAAGCATGCATAAAAAGATTTTTTAGGTTAAGGTTTATATTTTTCATGAATTAAAATGATTTAAATGAATATAAATTAATATTAATTCAAATAAATAATTAAAAAATATGAAAATACTTCCCTTTGGGCCTAGTGGTCGTGCATAGGCTTGGCATGAAGAAATTTGGAAGAAAAATGGGCCCATTTGCATTTTTAGGCCTTTTGCATCAATGTTGACTTTTCAAAATTCCTAAAAATTTCCCAACTTCCACAAGGCATAACTTGGTCAATTTTTAAGCTTTTCACATGTTCTTGGACATTTTGGAAAGGTCTTTGAGTCCTTTAACCAATGCCTTTGGTCCCATGTCATTTTGATTTACCAATCTCAAGTTATGGCCTTTGACTTAAAGTCACTTTTTGTT